ACAATTATGATCTAAATCAACAAAAAAAAATGACAACAAAAGAAGAAATTAAACAAGAATTAATTGATGCTGTGAGATAGTAAATCTTGGACCTATCAATTACCCGGTTAATATTGACCAATTAGAACGAATTTACTACGGAAGTCATGTGATGCACTAAATATTATATTATTGTAACGGCTACGCTGCACATTGCACAGTGTCATATGAAAGACTATTCCTATTCATATTTGTACTGCCACAAGAGGTATAAATACACTTGGCTTTAGACCAAGTTAAAAGGAGAATAAAATAAATCAATTGTTAATATTGTTAATAACAACCTTGATAACAATAGCATAATAATAACTCTTAATAAATATATAACCTTACATAAAATAGTCTTTGACTGTAAGTAACTAATAAACCCAGTGTGGTTGACCCCCAGCCCTTCTAATGGTTAATGGTCTGGCCAACCTTTAATTATTAGTTGGGAACCCTTTTAATTATTCAGATATGTCTCAAGGGGACACCTTTGGGATATAATCATTTACATAGAACCTAGGGACCCTTTTATCCAGGAAGACAAAAGTTATTTTTATTATTAATCTTTGACCATAAGTCAGCAGGTAGGCTGTGTGTCATACATATATATAAATAAAGGAAACTTGACTGTAAGTCAGTGGGTAGGCTGTGTGTCAAACAATAGAATCAACTGTAAGTCAGTGGGTAGGCTGTGTGTTGAGCTATAAATAACCTATTAAATAGGAAACTCAGATTGCACACTCACAATACACGAGAGTTTATTACTATTAAGGATACCAGCTGCAACTTTTGATAATGGTTACTACCATCTTTGCATTATATAAAAATGATTGCAACCGCCTTTACAACCATTTTGATTCCTTTTTGGATTGCAACATGGAACACTAATTACTATATTACCACTATCATTACCGGTGTCATCTTATTCTTGTTCTACAGCTACTGCTACTATTGCTTTTAATTTGCCATTATTATATTTGTTGCCATTATGTTGGAGAAATTTAAATCTTTCAAAGAAATTTGTATAAATGTTCTATTTATGAATTGATTATATTTAATATTAATATTTTTTGGTATATCCATGTCCATTCATCATATTATATTGTACTTGGATAATTATTTGATATAACTATTAATAAAACAAGTATTGATAGATGGATATGAATAAGAACGTTACATCTGCCTGCAGTTTTTCTTAAATTTGTAATATAAACAACAGCCCTTATTCATAATAGTGATAAATTACTTAATTAAATTATATATAAAAATAGTTTAATAAATAGCATAATAAATAGTTAATGATACCATAAAGAAGTACCTCTTTAGTAAAACTTCACATGTATTGGCATATTAGAGATGGCATATGTTTAAACAACAATCTATGCTTGGTTTTATGTCTAATGGTAGAGTCTCATATGTGATTGTATTTGAAAAAAGTTTTAAACAACAATCTACACTTGGTTTACATCTAATGGTAGGATCTCATTTGTGATTGTATTGGAAAAAAATTGTTTTTTGATAAAGTGAAATTACTATTTGAATTCCTTTGCTTCTGGTAAAAGTCTGTAAATATTTTTTCATTAGAGATGACACAAGTAGAAACTATATTTTTTTTATCTTGCATATAACTATGAAGTTTATTTGAAAATTATTATGTTAAAACTCATTTTTATTATGCCAAAGTACTTTAAAATTATATAGTCACACAACATAAATTTGAGATCGTCACATTGTGATAAATGTGATAAATAGAACTTCCATCATGCTGAATTTAGATGCAATAGTTAAGTAATATTCATTTCAGAAAATTTTAATGCTTTTTAAGTGAATTTAAATCTGCGCAACTGATTTGGTTTTTTGAATAGTTATTAATTTACTTTAATTTGAAGTATAAATTTAATGCTATTTATTTTTCCTATCATTTTTTCATACTTTACTTTAAATAGGATTTCAAATAAAGACATTTGAAGTGTAAATTTAATGCTATTTATTTTCCTATTATAATTATGGTACATTTAATTGAATCATTCGAGCAAGATGTGATGCAGACAATTTATGGTGCAAGATCAGGGCTGGCTGTGTAACTCAAATGAGCACTTGGCTAAACTGACTAAACTATTTAGTTATATGTAAAAACAAGTTTAGTCAAGTTTAGTCAAGATAATTATTACTAAATTAAGTTTTTAACCCCTTTATGCTGCCAGCCCTGTCCAAGATGCAATTCATGCAAGACATATTCATTTGTCACAACAGCAAGGATTAGATTCAATCATTTATTTAAAATTAATTAAATTAAAAAATAATACAATAATATATAAAGATATTTAATTTTATTCTTATGGTGATAGGAATGATTGTAATGATATCAGGAAAAGGAGGAAACAAATGTGAAGTGACAAAGATTAGATATTTTATACATAACTATTAATATACATAGTGATGTGTGTATGTGGATATTGATTAATTAAATAAAAAGGAATTAAAAAGGTGGTGGTGATAAATCCTCTCTACATTTGTTTTTAGTTGTATATATGATTTATTATTATTGCTAGTTATTTTTCTTCTAAATAATCTTTGGGTAATTAAAATATGGTGGACAGTGCAGTGTGAATATTATGATAAAAAATTTTTTTTGAATATATGTATATATACGTATATATTTATAAGAGAATTGCTATTTCTCACTGGTGGTGATTGTCACCACCTAAGGAATTAAATTTGCGTGGGACAGAGTTAGGGTTGGGGTTAATCATAAATTGTATA